GGGAAGGGAAACCTGGTCGTACGGTTCGAGGCAAGTCGAGTGAATTTGACTTAAAAATGGGCAAAAAATTGCGGCAATTAAAGTGGCAAATTGTCTCGAAGAGGCAATGTTCGAACGGTTCTCCGACATTGTCATGGAAAAAACCCCTTTTCCCCATTTCCCCTGGCTGTTTTCACATTGTGAAATGGAGCCTTAAATGAGTTTTCAGTTGACTTCGTACGAGTTGTTGTCTTTGGCCTCTCGACTCTAGCCTTCCAGTTCATCTCCATTTGGGTTTTGATTGAAAACCCCTTAAATGCCCCGAACAGAGTCATTAACAGGAAAATTGGGAAAAATACAAATAAAATGAGCCGCATTTGTGTGGGTTATTTATTGGGGCATTCCATTTCTCAAGCATTTAGTTTTTGCAATAAAAGAGTTCTTTTTCGGCTGGGAATTTATGCAATTCAGGGCGGTCGAATCGAACTCAGACCACAGATTACCCACTTTGCATTTGCGGGGACAACTCTTTCTGGCCTTCTTATCTCCGCCCGACTGGGGTTCGATTTTTATGTGCATCTCAGGCCCAGATAAGCCCTGAAATATGGCCAGTCTTGGCCTGGCCAATGTCTTAAAGGGAGTCGATTCGATGTGGGACGCAGCTGCAGCTCCTGCTCGGACTATCGGCCACCGAATCTCAATTAACATAATTCACCTAGACCATCGAGGAAGTGGCGTTCTCCTGCCTGCCAGCCCGCTCATAAACTAACAGTTTCGGTAGGAATTGTCGCTCCCAGATAGCAGCTTCCCTAAACAGGAGCCGAGCTGCAACCCGGACATGAAGTTCGGGGGAGCGGCTCATCTGCTTGGGAGATGCAGAGAAAAAAATATTTGCAAGCTATCAATTCAACTTTATTAAAATTATATTATTGAAAATATAAAATATAAAAGAAACAATCTTTGTTATTAATTTAGAAAATAAATTTCTAATATCATACTCCATTCATTTTTATAAATAAATAAATAACTGTTCGTTTATTGAATAAAAGAATCTAGAAATTGTTAAATTTAAAATCAGTTAAAGAAATACAAATACAGTTCAAAGAACTTTATTCATTACTCTTTAATTTTATTTATAATAATTTAGAGTTTATTTATACGGAAATGAGATAATTTATTTCGCTTTTCAAACCCTTTTAAAAATTAACATTTGCAAATGTTTACAGGTCACTTCCAAAGGTAAACACCAAAGTAAAATCCACTTAATGCTTATTTATTTTTGCAACAGTGCAGCTATCGGCGGAGTGGTATAGAGTTAGAGAACTCGCTCATTGTCAAAGTGGAAATTGTGTTCATAAATCAGAAACTGTCGCACATGTGTGACACCCGAAACCTCCGAACTCCCACTGCGAGCTGCCCCCACTCCCCCTTTTCCCCACTCCGTTTTTGGCCCCCTGTTTATTGTGTTGTCAATTTGCTGCGCTCGTTGGCTTTCTGGCTGCGATGGCGTAATTAGATTTCGGCCTGGACTAGTCGGTACGGTACGGTTCGGTTCGGTTCAGTTTGGTGTGGTGTGGTTGGGATGGTTTGGCCAGGATAGATTGTGGTTAGAGGATGGGCCGATGGGAAGCAAACCACGAAACGGGAAGTGTCGGACAATTAAGGCAGCAGGGAGATCCTGATCTGGCGAATGAAGGAAGCTGCGAGCCAGCGAGCGAGCGAGTCAATTAAAACGTTCGATACGATCGGCAGCGATGGTGCAATTTCCTCAAAACCAAATGACCAACTGTCCAAGTTTTAAGCCAACAGACGGCAAAACAATTTGAAGGCAATTAAGTGGCTCGCATGGCCATTGTCAAAACTGGCACATCGAATCCATTGGCTTAACCAGTTGCCGGGATGAGCGGCGTTGGGAGCGTTAACAGAGTCACACTTATTTGGCCGGCAATTGTTGCCCCTGATTCAGGCTCGGAGTCACTTTGTTAGTTGGTTAAACTTCCGCACCAATAAAACCAAACTCTGGCAGAGATGGCGATGGAGCTGGAGTTGGAGATGGAGATGGCGACGATGACTGCATCCGCAATGCAACTTTCTGTGTGAGATTTCCGCCTATTGCAGCTGCAACTGCCGACGCATGTGGCAAATTGGAGGGAGGGGGTTCCCACTTGGGAAGGGGCTCCTCCGACTTCTGGCGCTTCTTCGGCGTCTGAATTTATTACGAGACGGCGGATCTCCACCGCGATTACAGCAATTATGTGGCTTTCGGAAGGAGGTTGGCACATTGCCCGCGGAACGTGTCAGAGATGGGGTATCGAAACTTGTCAGAGGGACAAAAATATTGGTTGAAAAGGGCGTGAAAAACTTGGTCTTGGACTGAAGTTAAAACACTTGAAATCAGTTCTCACATAAGCTTTAAAATAATAATAAAAGAGCTGGGAATAAATTTCTACATTTAACATTTTAAATTTGTTCATACTCTTTCTATAAGAAATAAACATACATTCTGAGAAATAGTTTCTGTAGTGTTAATACTCGTTGGGTAAATAATAAAACACAGTAAAATATATTTGATTTTTTTAAATGAAACAGTTTAGTTATTTGAATATTCTTCAAGCATAATAAATTTGGATTTAATTTTTGGTTTTTTTTACCCTTCTTTATATATTTTGCACGCCCCTGCCTGCTTACATGGCTTTCCTCTAATAACTCAATTTCAACACCATCAAAAACAAATGTGAAAGTGCCAAGAGCCGCCTCCTCCGACCGACCGCCTCTCTTGTTTTTCGGTAACCCGCAATCATAGCCAAAAATCCCGCAATCGGCTCAGCATCTGAGGCATAAGTTTGATGCACTCCACCAGATAGCTCGACCTCGGATTGCCGCTTGGATTGCCGCTTGGAGTGCCGCTTGGAGTTAAAAGTCCCACCATGGGCCGCAATAAAATAAAATAAAGATAATTTGTCAGCTACTTCATCAGCGGCAGGCGCGTGCGTGACTCGTGGTGGCGATGAGAGCGTGCTGGAGTCGCGGTTGCCTGTTGCATAATCTTGGCAATTGAACTCTCCCAGGGGTTAGGCCCCCACTTCCCCCAGGCCCTCCCAAGAAAATAAGTTCTTCCTATAAATCACATAATCAGACGGAGCCTGGCTTTATAGGAAATGCGTGGCACCGCATTTCACTTGTTGCCATTAATAAATTAATTATACAACCATGACGGCACTGAGCTTAGTTTTATCCTCGGCAGCACGCACACGATACTTGTAAAAAAACACACACAAAAATGCACACAGATGGAAGAAAAAACTTGCACATTTTTGTCATCAGCACAACAACAGCAAATATTGTACAAATGTTGATGGTCAAAAGTTGGCTGACGCCTTGGCCAAAGCCATGGCCAAAAAAGCAGCTCGAAAGGCAGCCAGCTAAAAGACAAATATCAAGTGAATGGTGGAGTTTTCAGTTTGAAATGGTCGAAAGTGGAGTGCTCTTTATAAAAAACATTTGAGAAAACATAAAAACCAATTTGCAAAAAATAATATATGCTTTGTTTTTAAATTAACAACATTTTTAAAAATGTGTTTACATTAAACAGTTTATTACATAAAAATAGGTACAAGCCACTGGAGTCTCCAATAATTTCCACATTTCCCAAGAAATTTGGGATGCAAATGTATTTCCCCTTACAAATCTCACATTCGACTTCCTTCTGAGCGTTGCAAATTTAATCACCAGCTTATTATGCCCCACACAACAATAAATCTAAAAAAAGAAATATGGAAAATGCAACAGCAATACACCAGACCAGGCCAAGTCTGGCTGGCTGGCTGGCTGGCTGGTTGGCAAAGGAAAATGGGAAAAGCGAAACAACAACAACAACAACAAACCGGCCGTCTCCGTGAAAACTGCGCGGCCCCGGACACACACAAAACTCAAGTGGCGCGAAAATTCGAGGCACAGTTGCAGCAGCAGCGCGCAAGCGTGCGGTTTTCCTCCACAGTTTTTCCAGCCAAAAGTAAACAAGGCAAAACGAAACGAAAACTCAAATTAAAAGTCGCATTAAATAAATGAGAAACGAACTAGGACTGCGTCGAGCAAGTTTAAACAAAGCTCAAAGACAAAGTTAAATGAAATAGTCAAAGTTTGCTTTTTTTCCGCAAAGGATATGAGAATATACATTTGCAAAAAACGACTTTTATTACAATTTTCGCAGAAGTGCTTGCTAACAAGAATACTAAATACCTGATAACAAATTAAACTAAATTTAATGAAGATGAACTCTTGTTAAAACTTAAACATTAAGCTCATGAGAAGTGTTTACAGTGAACAGTATAAGTGGAACGAGACATAAAAGTTTTAGAGTATACGTTATCAAAAAAAAATCAAAGCCATTGAACATTATTTTTAACACTTTCAAATTTATATAACAATTTAAGAACTAGCGAATTTGAAAATTAAATTATAATTGCAACGATTTTTAAATCCCATTCAGATCTAAATTTTACTTTGTATATAATGTTACTTTATTAAATTATTAGACAACTCAAAACCTAAAGCATTTTTCAAATTTAATCTGAACTTTAAGAAGATAAACTGTCAAACTTAGCAATATTATTATTATTTGACCGCATAAAAATTTGCCATTTTCCGAATATTTTTATGACTATTTAATTACGAAAAACCGCTCTTACAAAATGCACATTTGAATTACGATAATAATGCGAGAGGTTAACAAAAAAGGCATTTAACGCAATTATCTCCAGTAAGAGCTTACCAAATGCAACAAATACTTTTCCAGGCTTAACAAACAATAAAGTTCAACGGTGAAAAACTCATTTAAAATTTGCATTAAAATACCAAGATAAATAAAAACAGCGTGGGAGAATAACAGAAATTTAAACAACAATTACAAATTGAGCTGCCACTTTTGGGGAAAGGCGAAAAGTGCAACGTGCAACTTGACGCCTCATTTGGCCGAACTTCCGCCGACGTTCGACACGACCCAAGACCCAAGGAAAATGAAAATGAAAATGGCTATCTGTGGCGCCTGCCCCACCTTAATGGTAAGTGCACGGGGGTTCATCATTCTGAAATTTTAATATAAATAACCGACAACTGCGCGGGCCATCGAGGCGTGAAAACAACAAGCGCCACTGGAGACTCTTCGGGGCGAAAATGGCCTGGGAAAAGTGTCTGGCCGCGGCTGCGATTTTTATTTTCTGGCCAGGCCAGGAAATGGACGATCCAGTCATTCCATATGGGTCTCTTTTCCCCGGCACGCACATTTCGCGAATAATTTATTTTCATTGCACTTGAACTTCAATTAGCCAGGAAACATCGGCGCTTGGGCCACAACTTTTTTGCAGCACTCATTTAATTACCAGCCATAAAAATCATAAACCAAATGCAAGCATTTCAAAGTCTTTTGGCGAAATTCGTTACTTAACTGGCATTGATTGTGTTGTTGCTTTGTGGAAGAAAGGAAGGCTATCTTGATTTTATGACCCCGGTCTTTATGAAGGCCCGCTGTGGTTATCTAACCGAATCGCCATCGCAATCGGAATCGGAATCCATATCCAACGGACGGGCGAAAGGAAAATGCAGCAGCATTTGCAATAGAAACTGGAAATTTGCAATTTAAGTGGATGGAAAAAAGTTTGCGGCCATTTCTGGCATTTCTTTTGAGCCAAGTTTCCTTGTGGCCCAGGAAGTACCATCTCCCCATCCCGCCGCCGCACTCTCTCTCTCTCTTTAGACCAGTCAAGTCTTTTATGTGCATTGAACTTGACTTTGCCTGGGGTTTTGGCCAGGGAAAAGACCAAACTGGTTCTAACTGCCGCCGCTGCAGTTGGTAACTTCCAGAGCCAACAATTAGCCCAAGCTGTGCCTTTTGCCTGCTCCAATTTCTTCTGCTGTCTCGACTCGGTCTTTACTCGGAACGGAGTGGGTCTTGGCCCACTCTCCTCCTCCCAGTCTGAGCCACGTTTTTCCGCCTTGTTGCATACAACAAGAGGCGATGCCGTAAGCGCATATTGCAACCGACAATTATACAAACTTGTGGCCAAACAGCAATTACAGAAACCATTTAATGAAGCAGCCAGCTCCACATGGAAAAAAGCGAAAGAGAAGAACAAAGTCGCGGAGAAATGGATGTATTGATTGCGTCTTCAGGGATTTTTACCAAGCTGGTTGGTGAAAAATTTTACAACTTACTGCAAGACTGTTAAAGTTTACCACCAGAGATTCAAGTACCAACAAATCTTAAACTTGGACAGATAATAAAATCAATATTCACATCCGTAAAAATCGAATTTCTTTTCTACTTCCTTAATAATAAAATAAAATTGTTTTCTGAACTAAGTGATAAATTCCCCAGTCACCTCATAACCTCACTGCAGTTCAATGCAATTTGTTTCCTTTAGCCAAACAAGACTTTTATTGTTCCTCATTTGTTTATTTCAGCAATACAAGTCTGTTCAGTGATTTCAATTTATATAGATATTTTGTATACAGATGTAAAACTGAACAGTGAATAGTAAAAATGTTATTTAATCAAACTTTAGCTTTTACAGCAAATATTAAAGTTTCAATTTCGAAACTAATGTCAAAACAAACGAAAACTTTTAAAATGCCATGCAAATGGACGAAGAGTCTTGTTCCTTTGCCTCTTTGAGGGTCGTAAAAGAATTGTTAACTAGTTTTCGCAGCACTTTTAAGGCCATAAAATCCGACTGAGCAAACAGAAACAAACGCAAATAGCAACAATTTTTATCGCTCCATTCTATTGAATTTTAAAACGAATCCAGCGCGTGTCTCAACTGGAATGAAAAGACACTTTTCCGGGCAGGGAAATAAACCCAGAAGCCACACCCACACCCACACACCCAACACCCCAAAAAAGTGTTAAATAGAAAGCACATAAAATTTTATGCAACCCAACTGGGCGGCCCGCCCGATGTTGAGTATATTCTGTGTATAGAAAACGAGGACAGGGTCGAAATGCAGTTTCCCAGGTTACTAGGCTCAAAGTGTGGGAGCAGAAGGAGGAAGGGGGGCGTGGCATAGGGGCTTAAAGGGGCGCAAGGGCGTGGCTGTATGACGCTGTAGCTGTCGCTGTCGTTTGGCGGGGACAACTTCATAAAAATTCACTCAGGCGCAGTTTTAACGGCCGTTAAATGTTTACGCGGTTGCATTTTTAACGACCGTTGACAGTTCATTTGGATTTAGCTCGATGGGTTTAGTTAAAGGACTGCTGGAGTGAAGGGAGTGGCAGATAAGTCCTTTAGGTCCCTAGGGGATTCCGAAATTTAGCCATTTACACGGCTTAAGGACTTATGACACCAACTGGTTGAATTCAATTCAGTTTCCTGCTGGCGAGTGATCGAAATACCTGCATAACTTTCTTATCGCAGTCCATCGCGAAATGTAAGTTAATGATACAGCTCATTTCATTGCATCACTGGCCAGGCCAATTCGAATACCATAATTGGCCTTACGTAAAAACGAGAGTGCAAGAAAAGCAATTGAAACCGAGCATCGATGAGTTTAATGGCCATAAAAGCCAAGTTCAACATGTTGACGTGAAAGTGCTGGCCAGGCGAACACCCAACTCCGATCGAGGGGAGCGCGTGCGCAACTCGTTTTATTTGTTTGTTTGTTTTTTTATGTTACTTTGTGAGACTCCAAATCCGAGCCGAGAATCGAGCCGAGTTTAAGCCAGGTTCCAGCTGCAGTCGAGGTGCAGCTTCCGTCCAAATGCGGCTTGGTCGAAAGTGAAAGTGGGCAGACGACCAAAAAGCAGGTGGACGGGTGGACACATTCGGATATTTATGGGTCTGGGCGATCGCATATGTAAACCGAAGTTGGTTCAACCCTCGCAGATGGTCGTAAATTATTATCGGCTGCGCTCAATGGAGAAATTATCATCAAAATTGATTAGCAAAATCGATTTTTGTGCAACTCCAAAAACAGTAATTTTCATGTTTTTCTTTTTAGTTACTGATCCTGGCTGTGATCCTAACTTTAGGTCAAGCAACGGAGTCCTGGCAGCGTTTACCCTCTCTGGAAACCTTCTCCACATATGAGGTAAATATTACAAATCAAAAACATACAAATTACTAAACAAAATTCTATTATTTTTAGGACATGCAACGTTATTTTAATCAACGTAATTTCCGAAGCATGCGGCACATTGACAATCCCACGGATGACAGTTACCTAGCTGCTTTTAATGAATACAATGAACAATTGGAAGATCAGACCCCGAAAGAGGTTACCCAATCCCACTCTAGAACGAAACGCGAGCAACGTCAATTGCCAACAGCTCCAAGAATGCTGCGATTTGAACTGGCAGATGCAGTGGAGCCAAGTCCTGAATTGAAGCAAATCCTTCGCCAATATCATGCCAGAGCTTTAAAGGAAAATCCCTCTCCTGTGAGTCCTATTAGTACAACACAAGCACCTTCCCAAGCTGTTAGTACCACCAAGGCCACCAAAAGTAAATCCCGAAAGCCACGTCGCCAGAGAAGATCAGTTGTTGGTCAACAGCCAGCGGATTTTAAGGTTCAAATGATTCCATTTCAAGAAACAGATGCCAGGGAACCCGATCCAGTGACTGCTCAGCTGATTAAGAAGGCCCGAAACTTAGATCTCCAAAGCCAGGCAACTAGATCCTCAGACATTCACCAGATAAAACCCCAAGTGGCGAGAAAGCAACCTTTTAAGGTGAGAATTCGCAAGACGAAACGCTCAAAACGATCAGCTCCGCAGATGATCAAATTCGAATTGGCGGATGCGAAACCTCTGCCACAAAGAACCGGAAAGCAGTTAAAATCTGAAACTGTACCCACTCTTTTGACCATGGAAACTCAGCCGAGGAATAAGACACAAACTCCTCAGTTGACCACACCCACTCCTCGATTGGAGGAAAACGATATCCTCACAGGGGAAACCACATCGGAAACCAAGCGAATGTATGTTTATAAGGAGGCGCCTCTGAATTCTGGTCATGTAAAGTCAAAGAAATCCCTGAGCGCTTTGCCCCACGAAGTTCAAAAGGTCATAACTCAGCTGATGAAGGATGGGATGGGAGGCAAGGCATACATAAAGTATCTTCCTGCCCAGAAATCCGACTACGAGCACTACAAAGCGAAACCAATTTCTTATGGATCCAAGCCTTTGGGAAACTATGTGAAGTACATCAATAAGCCAGTGGAACCTTCGGTGGCTCCGGCTCCTGTCCAAGTGCACATCCAACCGGTTCCCGTAGTGGAGCAACTTCGTTATGTCTACAAACCCGCTTATATAGCGCCAGCTCCCACAATCGCACAACCAATTGTGGTGCAGGAGGCACCAGTACCCACCGTTGCAGTAGAGGAAGTGCACCACACCTACACCGCTGAACTGGCACCACCGCCCACACAAAGTGTGGATGTGATTGTGCCGCAGTTTCGGCCTTCCAAGCCAGATCCTCTGCTGGCCGAAGCTCCTGCCATTTATGGGAAACCACAGGAGCCCTATAACTATGATCTTCAGCAGGAGACTTCTCCATTGATCCATATAGAATATCACGCGCAGCCTGATGGCATTAAGGAAAACTACAAACAGCTGCCAGAGTTCCAGCAATTATCCACTTTGATTGGAAAGTCACCAGATGATCAAATCCATGGTTTAACTTATTTACTGGCCAAGGAAATGCAAGCCAAGTTGCAGAGGCAGGGAAAACATTTGGTGGATCGTCCGCAGGATAGCACAGCGCCAATCCTTTTCCACCCCAGTCAAGAACCTTCGCCAGCACCCACTCTGAAAACTCTGCTGGATCATGGATCCCTGGGTGTTCATCCAGGTCGTCTTATTGGCATGGCTAAAACCAAACAGTATGTGCCCATCATCGAGCCGGGTAACAACGATGTCAAGGAACTGCCCGCGGCATCCGAGGCTTCCAAGCTGCCCACGCCCAGTTCCTACATCGATTACTCCCACGGACATGGACTGTCCAACGGGTACGAGGGCATCGCCAAGGTAGAGGAACCGGTGACCACGGTGGAGCATGTGGTGCACCATCCCACGGTGGCCACCCATCCGCATATTCAGCAGGTGCAGCACGTTCAGCAGGTGCAGCAGGTTCAGGTTCAGCACCAAAATCCGCATCAGCACCACCAACTTGTGGCCACTGTCCTGCCGGCGGAACTGGATGCGGACAAGGGCATGAATGGTCTGCACTTTGTGCACAGCCAGGAGGACAAAGCGGTGAGTGGGACCCAAAATCCTTAGATGTAATCACACCCTGAAAATTCGTAACATTGCAGTCAGACTTCTCTAAGTTTCATTTTGACCTTTTAACCTTTAAAAAATGTGTTCAAAAATGTAAAATGAAAGATCTGTCGAAAATTATTTCAACAATTTTTAAGAATTTTCAATTGATTGAAAATATTTCGTAAATTGGAATCTATTATCTGAAAATTCAATTCTCAAGCTTGTAGTCTTCTCATAAATAATCTTGACTTAACGTATTCGCATGGATTTGCATAACAATCTATCTTAATGTGGTTCGGCTCGTTGAAGCTCCACTGTAGTGGCGGGGAGCCGACCCCCTGAATGCATTAAATTAAAGCATACCTTGGGGCGCTCGACAAAAGGCTTAGCGCTCTCCCGAAAGCGTGCCCCATTGATTGGCATAGGCAAAAACACAATCAGCATAAATAAGACGAGCTGGGGCGGCCACAAACAAACACGGTGCCAGCCAGACGGATAGACACTCCGTTGCACGACATTGCGGCAGTCACAACAATGGAATCCCCTGCAGCAGGACTTCCACTTCCATCTCCACTTCCACCACCTGCTCCTTCGCTCGTCCTTGCATCCTTTTGAGCCACCACCCACCTCCTTAGCCCCAAAGCTGCCGTTCTGTGTGCAATTCAGTTTGATTGCCGATCCATGTCTCGCCGGTAATGCACTTAATCGAATAATTTTCAAGTTCGACAAGCATTTTCAATGTCGTTAGCCAGTCTCCCCCTTCGAGCTTCCCCGCCCTTTCCACCCCTCCCCTTTCCCGCCAATCCATCGTCTGGTACCTGGCAACACAGCCACAAAAGCAATGCAAACGACTTCGTCTTTCATTACTATATAGTACTATCCATTCGACTGCAGACTGCAGGTGCACTCAGAAAATTGAATATTTCAAAAACATAAGTGGGGAATTTAAATTCTAAAGGGAAACCAAATTGTTAAAATATAACCAAAAGTTGATTTTATAAGATCAGTTCGGTGGTATTTCATATTTAAGGATCATAATATTCTTTAATCTTATAATAGGAGAATATGGAATTATCTTTAGTTCAAATATAAACGAACAATGTACACTTAAATCCAAAATCTATTTTTAATCCAAGTGTAAGTGCGTCGGCCCGACATTTTGGGGCGCTGTCTGGACCAATTGATATAGAGATATGGCGGCTGATACGGTATATATTCATTTGGGCAACCTCGAGCACTTGAAGCGTGTGCCAGGGAAATGCACTTCACTCCACACGCGTCTCGGAATTAACATTTTTCTTTCACTGGCGGAAAAACTTTCGCGCAGCTTGGGGTTTCCTGAATTTAATTTATCTGTATTTCTTTGGCGAACCAGAAGGTAAAGTCCCGGGCAATGGAGCGTCTTTGTGCGCAGCCAGGCAAAAGGCCACGAAAAGTGTCTTGGCAATGCGAAATGAGCAGAGTGTGTGTGCCGAGTCACCAGACACACCTGAGGTGGGTAGGGAAACTGGAAGGAAAGTGCTGCAGGTGGGGACAAACACGGTGAAATAGCGAGTTTAAGGACACCAACGACATCGATACTCGTATTAAAAGCGCACTAAAAAGTAAGGGGCGGAGTATTCAATTTATCGAACCAATTTGTTTCGCAACTTTTTATTTTTTAGAAGTAACTTGGGAGAGGTTTTTTTAATAAATTCACCTGTCAATGAAATATCCACTATATCGTTAATCCCTTTACTATTAAATGAATTTAATATACCACCATTCGAAGCTCTCCTTATTTAATTGCTTTTCTTTAGTTTCTCCCACTGAAACCCAACCAAATATCAACCACTATTTAACGCCAAAAGTCCTTGGTTTACTTGAAAATATCAAAACAATATATAACACTTGGGAAAATACTGCATACCACGGCAACATCACCTCCGCATGGGGCTTCTCCTCAATCGAAATGCAGACAGGTCTTTTGCAACGAACCGAACGAGAGAACGGGTGGGGCGCCCTATCTGGACTCGGTCAGCATATGGCCACATATGGCTATACTCCGCAGTGGACTTAGCCCTCTCACTTCATCTCCGGACAGGCCATTTGGTAGACGAACTGCACGAGGGTGCGGGTGGGTCGTCCCGTCATCCGCTTGGCGGTCAGATAGGGAACCAGACCGTACTTGGAAATCAATCCGGTGCCCCGGGTATCCAGATGCGCCCAATCCACGCAGGGCACGAGTTCGTGGAGGATGGCGGCGGCCAGGCACGAGGTGGCCAATCCTCGGCCGTTGTTGCTCAGATCGTAGGAGCGCTCGTCGGTGACCTGGCGCTTGTAGTACTGCCACAGGGGGAGACGCCACACACGGTCACCGGAAATGGAGCCGGCCCGCTGGAACTGCTTCCAGATGTAGTGCGAATTGGACCAGATGCCAGTGGCGCCGCCACCGAAGGCCTTCTTCACGCCCGTGTTTAATGTGGCAATGTCCACCACCAGCCTGGGCAAGTATGTCTTCTGGCCGTAGAGCAGGGGATCTGCTAGCACCACCACACCGGCCTTGTCCAGATCCCGCACAGCCATCGACTTGCCGTTCAAGAGGGTCACCACATCGCCGGGCTTCGCCGACATGCCGGACGGCATATTCTCGCACAGCGGAATGATGCAGGTCACATTGATGGGCAGCGACAGGGCGGCGATGCACCGCATCATGGCCACGCAGCAGGCGGCGGCGGACATGCTGCCCCGGTACTCGTCCATGTCCTTGCAGGGTCGCAGGTTCAGCGCCCCCCGAGTTGAAGGTGATGCCCTTGCCCACGAACAGGATGGGCTTGTCGTCGGGCGCTGTGCCGCAGTAGCTCAGCTCCAGGAGCACCGGTGGCTCACAGCTGCCCTTGGCGATCATCAGGAAGGAGTTCAGGCGCTGGGCCTCGATCCAGTCCATGGTGCGGACCTCCACGGTGATGCCGCAGGGACACAGGGCGTCCACGGTGGCCTGGGCGAACATGGTGGGCGTCATGCAGTTGGCGGGGGCGTCGCTCAAGCGCCTCGCCAGATTCTGGGCCTCCGCCTTGAAGATGCCACGCGTCCAGCCCTCGTGGTCCGGGGAATCGTACAGCTCCAGAGTGGGGATCATCGGCATGTTCTTCTTGGACAGATTGTCCGGGAAACGCCACACGGCCAGTTGCGAGCCCTCGGCCGCCTGTTCGGCGTAGTCCATTCCATCGACCAGGACATTGGTGATGCCCTGCATCTGCAGGGATCTCGCGCCCACGCCGGCAGCAACGCGCACGAACTCCATGCCCTCGTCGAGCATTTCCAGTTCGTTGAAGCCGATGCCTTCCAGGCCAACACCCACCACGGCGATGGCCGCGAACTCTGTGTCGATGTTGTGGAAGACCTTGCCGCGACCCAACCGACCGTCCAGTTTCGTCTCGCAGATCACCTTCATCAGCTTACCCTGCACCCGCTGGTCGATCTTGTGGCCCGCCGCCGTCAACTTGGGATCCTTGTCGCCCTCCTTCTGATACAGGCCGACGACCAAGCCCCTGGTTAACGCCTTGCCCTCGCCGCAGGAGAACCGCACTCCCATTTTGGAGAGGGCCTGCGACTTGCACAGCGCAGCGACGCCCTTTAACGAGCAATGGAACTGACGCAGCTTGTTCATCTTGGTTGGACTTCGGGCTTTCCTCCTGGTTTCAAGTTATCAAATGGGTTTTTTTTCCCCCCCGTTTTGAACGCAAACACGCTAACACTTTGAATTTGGGCGATTTTAAAACACAAGTCCGTCTGGTTCCACACTCGAATTTTTTCACGAAAAAGAAATAGGAATGTGAATGTGAAAAAAAAACTGAGAATTTATCTGGGGACTTTTCTAAACAGACAATCTGTTCGGTACCGGTGTACGAATAAAATGATACTGAACATTTTGGGGCTGACCAACGGGCAGGTTGAGTGACATTCCACTTCAAGGAGTATGTGATCGAGGTTTTCATTCTGAATACCTAGATTCTGAACTTACATAAAAGAAAACCAAAATATTTATTATAGACTCGCTTCTTGGAATTGTGGAATAATCTTTATCACATAAAATATCACAAATAACCTTAAATTTTTATAAAAAGTTATTAGATACTTCACTCATTTTTCTGTTACAAAGATTTCTCTTGAAAAACACCCACCTTAAATGCAAATAGCTTCCATATTTATGTAAATTTAATATGCAAGCCAATAACAAACTGTTTCGAAGTGACTCGAAAACCCTAAGAATTATATTTTAGTGACATTGAAAAGCTTTTCGCCTGCGAAGAGTGTTAACGTGCAGTACACAAAATGCAATTGCCACAAAGAGGCCAAAAGAACCACTTTCCGGGCCAAATGGCACCGGCAACAACAAGCATTCCCAGTTCTCAACTCCTTTCTGTCGCCGCCAATCTACTTAAAATTGTTTTCGAGCTGAATTTTATTTTGCAGCGGGCAGCACTTTTATTTGACTCTCAATTGGCGAGCAAAAGGGGGTTTTGGGAATGGGGAATGAAAAGCTGATTACATTTTATTTATTGGCGTCAACAAATTGCAATGGGGATAGCCGGCATCTCCTTTGGATCTCGACTTTGGCGTTAATGCGCATTAAGCCGGCTCTCCAAGGGTGCAGCAGTAGCAGCAGTAGCAGCAGCTCCAGTAAACAAGGAGTCAGCTACCAATATCCAAACTGGCCAACGAAACCCAGGGAGTTGGGAGGTGAGAGGTGGCGGGAGAGCTGGTGCTGAAACACACATTGTTTTACTGCCGTTTAGCATGATTTTTAATAGGCTTTTGCCTTGTCCCTGTCCGAGTTGTTGGACTTGTCGTCATCGTACTAAGCCCCATTGCCCGTTGGTCGTTCGTTCGGTCGTCCGGTCGCCCGGTCGGTTGGTCTGGTTGTTAAACCCCAAAAACGCCGCCTGATGGTCATGATGGGCCGGCCAAAAGGATGCCCAGACTTTGTCCTCCTCCTGGCTTTCCTCCCCTCTGCCATCCGTCCGATCCGTCCGTCTCTGACAGGCAAACGACACTTGTTAGGCTCAAGTTTGGGTGGAGGTTAGGCCGCTTTCGGGGGCAACTTGGCCAAAAGCGGGGCAGTAGATGGCTGTGGGGGCGAGGTAGCCGGGCCAACATGCCGTTGCAATGCTCGTCATGGGACTTGTTTGACGGCATCTGCTGCTCCTTCTAACGTGTGCGAACATGGTCAGATTTTTCGGGCATTTGTCATTTTATTGTGGTCGAAATGGTCGGTAATGGTCGTCACTCAGCCGCTCAAGTCCTATACAGGGAAAATTCCCTGACACGAACTTTTCCAAGACAAATAGAATTGGGTGGCCACTAAAACCTTTGCAACGTTGGCTTTACAACGTAAACTTTCCCAATTTAAGTGCTTGTGATTTTTATATTACCTAAGATAGAAAGTAAGTTGCAAATGCTCGCTTTAAACTCTTATATTTTGAGGAATTTATAATTTGTTTATCAACTTTTAAAATGTGGTTTTTAAATATAACAATCTTTTGGGGGAAAAATTATAGTTTGCAATCTTTAATCATTCCAGTTTTTAAATTTTTTTCTTTTTTGAAATCTTATATCATAACTACACTTTTTCTTTTAATATTTATAAAATTTAATCAGATGTTTTTAATTCCAGTGTTATGACCCACACTGCTTTTTCTTCCTATACAATAATATGTATATTGGTTAACCTTACCCAAGTGCCACTGTATTATGTTTGCGTTTGTTTGTGTGTTCGCTTGCCATCTGCAGGTGCAATATTTTCTGGTTCCCATCCACATATTTTAATTTCGTTTTTATTTCAACCCTTTTGCTGTTGCTTGTTTTCTTTGGCCTTCCTGTTCTACTTCTTTTTTTTCTTTTTTTTTTTTGTTGGCAAATGTGGGGGCACAACATATTTTTGCAAGTGTTGAAAAGAGGTTGCCTGGGATTTAAGTTTTATTTAATGGAGCTCTTCAACATATGTTCCGGGATTATAAGTTCGGTTTCGAGCACTGCGAATCACTCGACAAAAGGGTTCTCATTTTGGCCAGAATCCCCTTGGCATGTGTTGCTAATGTGTTCCGAGTGCCTTTGTCCTGCAATTGATGGCCTTCCCGGGTGTTTCCGCTTCTTTTAAAGGAATTTGCAAGTGAAAGAGCCTTAAACAAGGCAGCCGAAATTGGTGTCGATTTCCCGTCAGTCGCCCGCCTCGGCACATCTGACCCGATGGTTGACTTTAAATTAGCTTCACTTCATTCGCTACCCATAATAAACCACAGCCACCCAATTGCAGCTACAAGGACAGCTAATATTCAGGCCCTCCTCCAAAGGGGGCAGAAACTATATATAGCCAGCTCCATGCCATAGCTCCTACCATTCCTGTTCCTATTCCTATTCCAATGATGTTTGCAACGTATTGACAGTCACATTCGCATAAAAATCACGTAGTTTGACATTTTTCTTGCTGCTCTGCCATTTCGTTAGATGGTTTTTTTCTTGTTCGGTTTTTTTTTTTGTTCAGCTGCCGCTCCTGCAGGTCCGATTCTACGGGATAACAAGGATGTGGAGCGGGTGAAAGGAGCAGGACATGGAGCAGGAGTTCCAGGAGCAGCAGCTGTCACGCAATCAGCCCGAGCTCAGAGCCAACAAACTGATAACTCAATTTTGGTTAGAGATGCCCCGCCCCCGCCTCCCTCTTTTTCTGCTCCCCAGGCTTTCGTCGAAAAACGAAAATTGCTAACAAGCGAGCCATAAAAACTGTGGGTGGCGGTGGCAGTGGCAGTGGTGGTGCTGGTGGTTGCATTTAAAATTTTTACCCATCATCCGGCACTCTGCTGAAAATTATACAACAATTTTCGTAGGAGGTCCGCCGGTCTAATCATCGTCCTGTTCCTCTTTTGCGGATCTCTGGAGCTGCAGCGGTCATAATTGCGTGGCCAAAAAGTTTCAGGAAAGTCGGAAGGCGGCGGTGGCAACAGCAATGGCAACGGCGGCAATTGTGTCAATGGCTGCCGTGTGGCATCAACGAGCCCAGGACATCCATTTGCCTGACGAACGCTGTTGAACACGTTCCACTTGATGGGGATTTTCACACCCCCATCCCATCCAGAATATCCAGTATATGGACTCCACCGCAGTCCACACCGGAGTAAGCTCCACCCACATGGAGCACATGCCAGTGGAGGAGGAGCAGCAGCTCCCGAACGCATTACATTGTAAAATTGGTTTTTGTAAATTGTTTGGACACAACATTTATTTCCATTTAAACGCGATTTGGACCGACTCGGTCGGTAGCTCCTGGGCTGACCATCCTCCGTTCCGGCTCTTGTTCAATTTTAAATGAGCATGCAGCTGCAACTGCCACATTGCCCCGAATCCCAGCCCTTTCTGGCCGGCAATCTCTGCCTGTGTCCCTTGAGGTTTTCGGGCTTCGGAACGAGGTGTTTGCAGCGCTTAAACGAATTGTGTGAATAATAAACGCAACACACTGCTGGCACAACCATCTGGAGGGCGGCGGAGGCGAGTGGGCGTGGCAGGGATTCCAGGGGCGGCTTTAGTTACCCAACAAGGATTAGTGTTATGGCACTGGGGGCTTGGTGGGGGAAGGGGGATCCAGAGTACGGAATCCTTTCCGGCTGAGTGCAAATCATGAGCTAATTGAAGAGGGTAGCTAACGCAACGATTTGAATGGCTAAGAACGAGATTAAATGAAGGTCTCACCGCACTGGAGTCATGTGAAAATTTAATGCCATAAAATCTAATGCCGTCTGCTATCCAATTTAATTTCCTATAATTTATCTTAACGATTTCGGTTTATTTTGCTTGAAAAATTACGGTCTTAGCTTTGGGTTTTTAATGTGAGCATAACAAACAACATTGGTCTTTAATTTGAACTGCTTAGTCATGAATAACCAAGGTGTTCCTACTTGATTTTTGTATGTTGTAAACTCAAATTTACGTTTAAATTCCATAACATACGTCTACAAACATCGTAGACTTTAAACTCAAAGATAGCAGTTTACTTTTTTGTAAAACCTCAAATTATAATATTAAAATCTTGGGAGCAAAAAGTTTAATCAGTTGAAATAACAGAGTTAAAAAGTTTTTGTTGTCCTCGACCATTTGGTTTTTGTTTTATTCCACATTCTGTTTGGCTTTTGTTTGATATTTATTGACTCAGCTATGATTATTTTTCACCGACATCCCGGGGGCATAATAATTGTCAGTGGTTGGTCAACTTTTCTTGATGTTTCGACCGCAAAAACCTGACAGGCAAACAACAAATCGAATTAAGTGGAAAATCACAATGAATCCAGTCACACAATGATTTGGGCCACGCCCACAGATAATGAACATCCTGACCCCCTTTGTGCCCGCAAGGGTTAACCGCAAGGACAGCGGGCAGGAGAAGGTTAAGGCCAGGCCAATGCCGCAGGGCAAACAAAAGGCAAAAACATTTTAATGAGCGCAGATGAGATGACAAAGCCACGGGGTTGTCAGTGGAGAGGGGACAAAGGGAGGAAGGGAGGAAGGGGCTAGGGAATAACAATGCTGATTACATGCAAATTAAAAGAAATAAAAGTCAGCCAACGCCTTGGATGTCCGATGTCAAAGCATTTTCCCTTTGGCCAAAGGAAGTGGGCGGCACCTCGGAAGTGCGCATTAAGTTACCAGAGGGGCCAAAAAGCTGAAGCTTTAGCTCAAGTTGAAGCTGAAGCTGGGGGGAATGGCTTATTGCTTTTTGCCATGAAAGAAAGTTGGAGCTGCTCGGCATGTCAATTTGGACATACTTCGGCCATCTGATCGCTCACTCGCAACTAAACGAACTCACGTAGTTTGGCCGGCAATTGCATTTTGCACTCGCTCGACTCGCTGCACAATTCGCTAAAAGCCAACGCCAATGGAAACGTGTTAAATGCAAAAAAGTGTCCATGGCATTCAGCAATAAACTTGGCTCGCAGAGGCACTTTTGTCATATTTGGCCAGCCATCTATCTATTTATCCATCCATCGTAATCTGATGGAGACGGGCGCAAAAAAATGGCCACGTCATCGGAAAAAAAGGGTCCAGTTCAATATGGCACGTGATCTGATTCGGATTCCACTTGACTGGATTCTCCGCTTATTTTTTATGTTTTTTTTTCTGTTTTTGCGCCCAGGCAAACACTCGCCCATGTTTCATCTGCATTGTAATTATGTTCGCTTTAATCAAACCGACTGGTAATGAAATTCCAAACTGCAGAGCCTTGTGCACTACAATGTTATATCTTGTCTGGACTCTGCCCACAAATTTGCATACTCGCCCGCTGTCGTCGCGGTGTATTCTGAATTTTTCTCGCCCCAGACATATTGAAATCTATTAACATTTTCGCCGTGCTCCTAATGAAGCCCTTGCCACAGCAGAAATTTTTTCGCATTTCATTAGGAGATGAAGGAGAGTGCAAATGTTGGCAAATTGCTGGAGCAAAGAATTTATTAATTATGTTTATCGCGTTGGCGGTAAAAAAAAAAAAAAAACGGAATATAAAGGAGAATGGAGACTGCAATCAAATCGAGGCTCCTTCTTGGGGGAAAACTCCGTAAAACAAATGTCAATCAGGATTGCAATCAAAGGAAAACACTTCTGCTAGGTCTATACATTTTCTAAAGCCTGGAAAACTTTTGTTCTGTCACGCGGAATAACATTTCCCCTCAGCGAGGAAAATCTAGACGACAATGTAACTTAATTAAACTTAATTTACAACTCATTAACATATCAAAAAGTTTGCCACGCCCCCTCCTCCCTCGGCGCACAAATCTTTGGGCTAGGCCATAAAACCACAGAAGCAGCCCAAAACATGTAGCTAAAGTTGGCAACAATTGTCGTCGGGATCCCGAAAACATTTGAATGAGCGGAAACGGAAACGCACACTCACACCCGCGAACACACATCCTTTTGCTTATTTTATTTCATTTTATTTTATTTTCATCTGGTTGAAATGCGAAATACTTACAATAAAAAGGCAAAACCAAAATTGTTCAGGACACAACAAAACGACAGCTATGTTGCATGCAGAATGCCACAGATTTTGAGGGGGTTCGATCGGGGACCCGGGGACTGGTCTCGTATATTGTTGCAAATTTCATTACGATACAATTTACAATCGCATGCATAACAAACCGAGCCGTGCGAGTGACAGACAACCCCGTGTGCCCCACTCCATTGCCACTCCCAATCATCGCCACTTCCAGCAGCTCCCAAAATCAGCCAAGACCCAATTCCGCCTTTGCACTCAATTGTGGCAAGTGGGGCACTGCGAATACCCTTGCTGTGGCAGGAAATTACCATAATTCGATTTTTTAAAAGCAATTTTGACTGCACTTAAGGTTCATATTATCATTAAACATTAACTTAATTCTTGTGTCCTAAAACATACCATTTTTAAATTATATTACGTTCATAAAAGCAAGATTAAGTATTCTAGATAAATAAAATTGATATAAGTTAGAACTTGTTTTTATAACTTGGTTCTAAAGACTGCAATAATCTTATTGGATTAAATTGGATTAAATTGGATATAGCACATTTTTTATTATTTAAAGGCAGTTATTGATGAGTATTTTTAGGTATCTAGTTAAAATTTATTTGATGAAATAAAACTCTTTTTCAACTGAACTTCAAAAGGTAGAATATTTGCCGAGAAAAGTAAAATAACTTAGAAGGTACATTCTTTCAATCAGAACATATTCTTACACATTCACTGCGACTTAAGCTCCAGTTGTCACAGCGCGTCTTCCAGTTGTCGCTTCCAGTCTTCACTGTACATGACAGTGTGCTTAATGCATTTTGCATCGTATACTTTTCAGCATGCGCACGAATTCCCCACTGCAACAGTGTGGAATGTGCATATTGGAGGGGGTTGCTGGGCGGTGGGTGGTGGGTGGTGGGTGGTGTTGGTGCATACTGCATACTGCTGGTGCTGAAAACCGATTTCAGCCCCCCTCTGCTGAATGCAACTTATCGGTTTACTGAACAATCTACGCAAATACATAACTAACTTATTCCCCGAACCAACCCCGTCCCTTTGTGTCTTCGTTGCAGATGCAGCAGTATGCCTCAAAGTATGCGTTCGGTTATCGCATACGTGATTTCCATACCGGCAACGATTTTGGCCACAAACAGAATCGTGATCTCCACGGCGTGACACGCGGCCAGTACCATATCCTCTTGCCGGACGGAAGGATCCAGAATGTTATCTACCACGCCGACGACTCGGGCTTCCATGCGGATGTCAGCTTCGAAAGCGGGGCGAAGCATTAAATCTGGTCTACACAAAGCGGCCAAGTGTGCAATCTTCAACTTAAGTTAGCTATAAGATCTTCTTCGAGAAAATTGGCTACAACCCATTGAATAGAACCAGGTTAATAAAGGCTCTTAACTCGTTTAATGAGTCTTTTTTATTGACTCAATAATAAAATCAATTTTTGGCTAATGATTTTCGCAGGTTATGCGAAAGAATTAAGTAGCCGAAAAAAGCGAAGACGTACTTTTATTTAAAAATGAAATTTTTATAAAACAGAAAGGTGAAATTTTTGTTTAATTTATAGTTTTAACAATGAAAATTTGGAAACCAAATTATTTTCTTTTCTTTGAAAAAAATGTATTTATAAATTAGACACCTCCGTGTCGGAAATTTTTTGGCAGAAAAACAAAACTCAACAAATGAATATGCACCTTCAATGCCTAAATTTATTTTAAGAAACTAATTTGTTATTTCTTTTTAAGATATTTTTTTCCAAAACCAAAATAAATGTTTGTGTTAAATCCAGCAGTGACTTATGCATTAAAGCTATAAGCTTATACATAAATACCGATTGTAAATCAATGAAAAATTCTGCACAGAACAAACGCCCAAACAATGGGCACTTATTGTTTTGTTGTTCAACTAAATACCAAATAATGACATTCTGCTTGCTCAATTCATGTTAAATGCTATCTAGATATTAAGTGATTTCCATCTCATTTATGGTTACTTGGGCACTGCTCAAATTAGTTTAGGCTCATGAAAAATGTATTTTAAATTAAGGAGCCAGTGCAATAATACATGCAAACAATGCCAACCAATGTGTTTAAACGATGTGCAATAAAGTGAAATCAATAAATTACTGACAGCATGCGTGAACGGAGGTCTCTGACAAATTGAACAACTTTCAGCAAGGCGACTGCGAAATGCCTGACGGAATTGATTCGAGGCAAACCTTCGAATATTGAATTGGCAGATGCGCTCTGCTCCGTTCGCCTTTTCTTCCATAATTGACTTTTAAATGCTCGTTATTGTGCGTTAACGCACAACCTGAGCAATTATTCAAGCCTTGCCGGTGACCTTTCGCTTCCGCTTGGCCTTTTATGGTTTTGGCTTTTGTTTCCCACACTCGGAATAATAATTCGGTTAGAGTAATTTTAGGAAATTATCCTGCGGTAATGTCCACTCTTATGTCAAAGCTTTTTAACGACTTACTTTTAAACAACACGTTTTTTGCTTGATTATCAACTAAAAAATGCCCAAGGTAATCCTGCAAATAGTTTGAATTTTATTGTCATTTTTATGATTTTTATAGGTCTTAAAAAAATGTAGTAAAAAGTTAGCTTATTTCTTAAGTATCAGTATTTTTTATTTTTATTTTTATGAACATTCACAATATATTTTTACACCTCTTTTTAATAAACAAGTTACCCCAGAACAACTAAACAACTTCAAGCTAAGCTAAGCCGCCCGTAAAAAAGGAAAGCAAATTAATAAATTAACTCACTTTTAAATGGACAATAAACATTTTTTCGTGAGTGCAGGCACTTTTGCGGTACGAGTACTACACAATTTTGATCTGCTCGCCGACTTGTTTGGCTTTAATTAAAATTGTAGCAAAATTTCTTCTTGCGATCTTCGCCCAACCATTTATCATCCGCGAAGGTCAAGGTCTTTCTGCTGGGTGCTCTCAACAATTTGTATTGCTTGTACTCCAAAAATTGTAGTTTAATTAATTTGCCTGCTTGGAAAATCGATCGACCGCAATGGCTTTTATGCCCCATCATCATCATCATCATCATTACCATCATCATCATTATCACCAGCGTGACGTACTTGGCCCGAGAGTCCGGGCCAATGGCTTCCAGTTTCGATGTCATCGCAGATACAGAAATATGTATAAAAAAAAAAGACCACAGATCGAGAATCGCAATCACATGTGGCTCTGCTACCATTTAAAGTTCAATGTTGCCAACAATTGTAGAAACAAATTTCAGTCTCTCTCACTTCAGTTGTTGGCTTGTTTCTGTCTTTGGCCAATTTGTTTGCCACTTTCCGACTCCGCACCTTTAAATTGCCTTTTGCATTATTCTCTGTATTTGTTCTGCTGCTTTTGGCTTTGCATTTTTGCGTTTGTTATGTTTTCGTTTTTAAGGTTCCTCGGCTTTTCATGACGAACTCATGCAGAGCTCATTAACTAATTTAAGTGGCTGGCCCAAACAGTCAGGCAGATAAGTTTTCACATGATGCGGAAAGCCAAAAATAATACTAATGGTTTCATCGGAAAAATGTTAGCTCATTCTTCCTTCAGCTGAATAATTTATGAAGCATGGGGAAAAAATCGACAAAAGAATTTCTAATTAATTCGCTTGAGAAGGAGTGGTTATAAAATAAATTCGCGAAACTTTTTGTTGGCACTGTGACACAAGCAATTTGGAACATGATCTTTTTGTACTTTTAATTTTCGATAGTTTAATTGTTTTGACATTAAAAAGTATGAAGATGATTTGTTTTTAGCTTTCAGATCCGTACGTTCTCCTTCTGAGGTTTTTTGGCCAATGCAGGCAGCCCAAGTTGGCAGTTGTTCCTAACCAAGATGATTGACATTAATTGCCAACGCGACCAGGCCAAGAGATGCACACGTCACTCATTTCGTTGCACTTCTTATGATTTTTGTGAGCAGTTTTTTTTGCAAGGTTCTCTGTTTTTTCTCTGGGTAATTAGGCAACTCTTGAGTTAATTAAAACCAAAGTATAAAAGAATGCACAATTTTGACAAGATTTATGTGAGCTGACCTCAAAAGTTGTGGTATGAATTCTGTGGGGCAATCCATGAGAACCAAGTGCATTTTAATTATGGTATTATATATAAATCAGCGCATTAGGCGCGGCGGAAAAAAAGAGAAGAAAAATTATATTCCACGCCCTCGCAACTCGAAAACCCTGAGACCAAGCCCATTCTCAGACTGCATGTGAAGCCCCCCGAAAAAGATGGCTAAGGAGCAGCGAAGTTGAAGTTTTCGGCGGCGATAATAAAATCCCATTTAAGTTTGACGATAAGTTTTGACCATTAGTCGCTTGCCAGGGGCTGTGAGGGGCTGTCATTGCAAGTTAAATGCCTTGGATTTTCCCCCTCCCCACTTTTGCCTATTTTTTTCCTCATTTTTTCCACCAGCAAGTTATGGAGCCAACTTCGGTGGGCTCACATTGCAATTGATAAGCGACGAGGGGCGGGTGTGCTTAGGGGCGTGGCTAATGCCCTGCCAGAACTTGGCCAAATGCTGTCGCCCCTGTATTTGATATATTTTCCGGGGGAATTTATCTGCCGCTGATCAAAATGTGTGAAAATTTGGCAGCCGGAATTTGGCAGAGCTATTTGGGGAGTTTTTGTTTTGATGGAGGGGGAAATAAGTTTGTAATCGTTTAATTCAGTATTTAAGCATTTATTATGGTAACGAGAACATTTAACACAACCTTCTTAAGAGTAAAAGCTACTCCAATAAAACAATTGCTTAAAATCTTGGACTTTCTATGATTAACAGTACATATTATTTAAAACTCTTTTGGACATGTTAACTACTTACATTTGCTAAATAAAGTCAAACTATAATTTTTCATGTTTAATGTCATGTCTTTAAAAATAATTCAATATTTTAATTAACTAAATTTATTTCGCATTTAATTGGCAAAAAGTAATATCTGTCGCTTTTGGCGTGTGTCTAAATCAAATATATAATTTGTCCTTCATATCTTTAGGCATTTAAGTTGGCAGCGTTTTAACCTAAAATAATTGAAATTCAATTACTTGATTAAGTAAATTCAGAGCACATTTAATTGGCTACAATTTAATACCTGTCTGCGAGGGACGTGTGTCTCAATCAGATGTGTCCTTTGTCCTTCGCTTCCGCTCAACTTGTTCGCTGTCTGTTGCAGTCAGTCAGCTTCCGAATGGACTGCAGGTGCCACCCACAGAGCCGGAATGAATCCGTATCTGTTCCAGCAGCCTTTGTATCCGTCGCTCAGGGAAAACACGTAAACAAGTCAGCGCAGGTTGCGTCTCAATCGCTCAAGATCTCCGCATGAAGCCCTCGGGATTTTTATCTTTAGCTTACTAAATAAAAATTAACAAGGATAAATGATGCGAGCAGGCAGGCGATGTCAGGGAATGCGGGCAAGTGTCTACCATCCAGAGTTGCCATCCTCCATTATAATCCAGTGTTTTTCTGTGGGTGGGTGTAAATTGATTAAATGCAAAATTGGAATATGCAAATGCACCCACACCCAAACACTCTCACACACACACACATACTGAAAATGGGCGTGGCGAAAGGGCGGGCTGCGCGGTCTGAGATGTGATTTATGTTAGGTGCAAAGTTTTCCACAACTTTTTCCTCCACTTGGCCTGCCTCGAATTCATTCTTCTCTTCTGTATTTTTTTTTGTTATTTTTTTTGGGTGCAATGAACGCAAGTGCAGAAGATGACGATGACAATGAGGATGCACAAGTTGGGGAAGGTGTGAACTCAGAAAAAATTCGCTTAATTTGTCTAAAGAAAAGCCAAGAGCATGAAAATTTCCATTAAGAAAAATGGTGGCAAGTGTGGCAAGTGACAGGGAAAGCTCGAGTTTAGCCCGAAGATTGTTGCAGCAGCAGCAGCAGCAGCGCTGGAAAAACTTATCACAGTTGCTCGCTGGAATAATGAGAGCAATCAACAGGAAACTCCGGCAAAGAGATCAAATCAAATCAGAAGGAAGTGCCAAAAGGAGATGGCCGTAATGAAAGTAATCAAACGAGCAGTTAGCAACTTTAAGACGATAATTCCTATAAGTTTTTAATGAGTATAAAAGACAAAAGTTTGCATGAAACTAATATAGGTTACGGTTAGTTTTACATTTTACCTTGGGAACGGATCAAAAGTGCTTCAAAAAACACATTTCTGAGTTTCAGATATGATCATGGGGGAAATGCCAAGCAAATCGAACGACATTTGATGCGCCTTCACCGCCAGTCTATCGGAA